GCTCACACTTTGTGTAAGTGTGGCACAAAGCCCTGCAGCATCCCCAGGGATCCCCTGGCTTTACCTCTGCAGAAGGATTTGTAGCCCAGCCAGCAGCAGCTGCCGTTCCCACACTGGCTCCTCTTCAGCTCCTTGTGCCGCCCCTTGCAGCCCCCCAGGCAGATGGGGGCCGTGCCAGACCAGTACGTGTCCAGGTCTCCTGGGGCCATTGGGGCAAGGACACCGCTGCCAGCCCTGCCCAGCCCTCCTGGGGCCATTGGGGGCAAGGACACCGCTGCCAGCCCTGCCCAGCCCTCCTGGGGCCATTGGGGGCAAGGACACCACTGCCAGCCCTGCCCAGCCCTCCTGGGGCCACCAGGGCAAGGACACCACTGCCAGCCCTGCCCAGCCCTCAGAGCCCCACAGGGCGGTGCTGGAGCCCACAAAAACCACCCCAGCCCTCTCCAAGCCCTGCTGTGAGTGCACCCACTCAGCTCCCACGTCCCTGTGCCAAGCCCTGCTCTCGCTCCTTACTGGCACCCCATAAACCTTTCTTTCCCTCATGCCCCAAGCCCCCGTTACCTTCTGGCTCCTGGCAGGAGGTGAGCGTGGCCAGCACGGTGAGGAAGAGGAGGCCCAGTGCCATCATCTGCCTCCTCCCCTCGCCCCTCCAAGCCCAGAGCCCTCTGTGCTCGCCCAGGAGAAAGTGAACTTGGTTTGCACACACCCCCCAGGCCCGGGGATGCTGCAGGACAGGGGGAGGGAGGAGACATTGCCTTTAATGCCAATCCTCTCCGCAGCAGATAATCCCTGGCAGCTGAGCCTGCCCGAGGTGGTGTTTAAAGGGACACTCCAGCAGCAGCCCCAAGGCAGGAGCAGCAGCAGAGCCCAGCCTGGGGAGCTGCAAACAGGGCCAGGCTGGAGTGCTGCGAGTGCAAACCTGGCACGGGGCCCGTCTGTCCTTCCCTCGAGGGCAGCTGAGCCCAGCTCTGCCAAGGCAGGGACGGGAAGGCTGGGCAAGGCAAGTGCCCAGGGCAGGGATGCTGTGGTCCCAGGGACAGCTCCTGCCTCTCCCCACAGGTGCTGGGATCCAGGGGTTTCCCCCAAAATCCAGAAATTCCAGCAGCTTTTGCTCAGCTGCTTGAGAGGGAGCAATGGGGGAAAGTCAGTGCCCAGC